GAAAAAAACTCATGATAAGAGTATATACTAAACATAGAGAGAGAGAGAGAGAGAGAGAGAGAGTACAAAAGGTCAGATTTTAGGTTGTTTTCAGTTTAGCTTTTCAACTCACATCATTAAACTGATTATATATTTGAAATATTTTGAATAGAGGTCTTCAGATTACTGGACCACACAGAAAACTAGTTTAGCTTTGGTTCATTTATGCTTTTTCAATATGTAATGACCAGTTTTTGGAGCTTGAGATCATGAAATCCTGAGTCTTTCCATCCACTGGATGGCAGTGTTGATTCTTGAGCGATGGCGGCAGCCCTCAATGAGTCATCTGGCTCTGGGAAATAGTCTGGCACAATCAGTTCTCTCTCTCTCAGTGGACCAGGAAGAGCTTTCATATGCTGTCGCCATCTCCAAACTCCATATGATTACATGTAGAAAAATCCCAAGAGTGATTCAATGAAATACAAGCCAGTACATCTGCTTAGAAACTTTATTAAAGGGTTCATATGATGCGATTAAAATTTTTCCTTTCTCTTTGGAGTGTTACAAGCTCTTGGTGCATAAAGAAGATCTGTAAAGTTGCAAAGACTAAAGTCTCAAATCCAAAGAGATATTCTTTATCAATTTTAGAGTCAGCCACGCCTACCTAAAACGGCTCGTTCGAACACGCCCCCACATATCTACCTCACTATCTGGGAAGATTTGCATAACGCCGCCCAAATGTTCACGCAAAAAAAGAAGGCGTAACTTTAATTCTTGCTGTTGCCGCCACTGAAATAATGTTCTTTTTAGCAACATCATATGACCCCTTTAACCACTTGATACTACCTCCAAAAACATAAGATGAAAATTGTGGTTGGGTCACATTAATTTAATATGTTTATTCACAGCTGACAAACTACATAAAATACAACAGCAGAAGTATATCTTTTCAAAGAAATGGTCATGTCAGGAACTCTTGATATGTTCAGGAATGATCACAAGAACTGCTACGAGAGGAGACACAGACCTGTGCTACAGACAGACTGACAGCACTCAACACTGTACTCTCACGGCACAGATGAACACTTATCTTATGCAACTCTGATGGGATTGGAGTGCTATCATCAGAACAAAGATCTCGTTGCTTTATTTGATATCCTCTACAGTTTACACTACTCGTATATAGCTAAGAATGTAACAAAATGGAAAGCAAGTGCTAGTCACTATGACCGATGACGGGGATGCAGATGTCAGTCCAGGCTTGTGTGGTCCTCATAATGTCTGCTGTCATCTAACGGGAGTCCACGGATTCTAGTTATTGTTGAGGACCCACCATGATGCTGTGGAAACATTTTTTATTATATATTTTTAATATAATAAATCAATATTTTTAATAAATATAATAAATTAATAATGTAAATTAAATAATATATAAAATATTGTATTTTATTTTAAGAGAGGCTTTGTACTGTGGTTCACCTGGAACCAGCATAGTTGTCATAATCTCTGGCGTCTCTAAGAAATCCACATTGCCTCTCTGGAAGGTTTTGCTGTAATTGGTCTGCAGATGACTATAAATAGAAAACAAATAGGCTTTTTACCCAGTTATTGCAATTCCTTGATTGCAATAAGGAATCTTTAGGACTGTATCAAAATTGAAGCTTGTGAGAAGTGGTTTGAATCAGTGAAAATGTGAGAGAGACTTACTTCTTCCACACGTTGCTTTGCTCCCAGAACTCATACAGTATGAAGCGGGATTCATTGGCAAGCCTCTGAACTGCAACACTGGCGAGAGAGCAGAGTCAGCGTAGGATTACTATCAAACGTGTTTGCTTAAACTGATTCTTTAAAGTTTCAAATGGAAGCATTTAGACATGGGTGAAAAATTAAAGGAATGTTTTACCTAAAAGTTATTTATATTTGACCTAAAAATGATTCATTGAGCCCCATGTTGTTAGAAACAAAGTATTTTACATGTTCTTGGTATGTTAGTCAACACACTAAAATAAGCACACTTAAAAGGGATAGTTCACCCAAAAATGAAAATTAACCCGTAAGACTTTCGTTCATCTTCAGAACACAAATTAAGATATTTTTGATGAAATCCGAGAGCTTTCCGACCCTGCATAGAAAGCAAGGGAACTACCACGTTCAAGGTCCAGAAAGGTAGTAAGGACATCGTTAAAATAGTCCATGTGACATCAGTGGTTTAACCTAAATTTTTTGAAGCTACAAGAATACTTTTTGTGCGCAAAGAAAACAAAAATAACAACTTTATTCAACAATTTCTTCTCTTCCCTGTCAGTGTTTTCTTTGCGCACAAAAAGTATTCTTGTAGCTTCAAAAAATTTAGGTTAAACCACTGATGTCACATGGACTATTTTAACAATGAATTAATGACAGATTTTTCATTTTTGGGTGAACTATCCCTTTAAAGCACATGATTTAAAATGTATTTTTAAACTTAATTTGACATTGCAAAGTGAACTCTGTAAGTACACTTTAAAGATATTTTATTTAAATTGTATCTTTTATCTTACAAAAACAGTT